CTCTGCACATCTCTCCACTCCACATTTCTCATCCTATTAAAAATAAAAAAATATATTAAAACTTTCAAATGCTTCCAAAGGTCAGGTCACATGAGGAGAAGTTTTCATAATGAGTTTCCCAAATGAACCCATTCGGAGACAGCGGTGACTACAGTGGACAGCTTATCATGTTGTCAGGTTACAGGGTGCATGAAAGGGTTAAATATGGGAGATTTTATTGATTTTTTTGGCCTCGTCTTTCCACGTTTCTTGACCGATTCAAAATCGTTCCAACTTCAGAGCTCTTTCAGGACCACCGGGAATCATATTACAATTCACCCGATAATTTTGACGAGTTACAAATTCACACATTCCGCTTCACTAACTGATCTCATTCAAATGGCCCAAAAACTCCCAACTGTTTTGCATGCTTTAGCCATTTTTTTGTGTATGTTCCTTGACCAGTTCAACCCATCGACACTTCAAATTGTTCATCTTATTCGGGATGTTTTGGGAGCTGTGGATCACATCCGAAAGCTCCATGTTCACCGCCTCCTTCCCACATCCCTTGACCGATTCCGACCTCGATCATCACATGCTACGTTCTGACAATTAAATCTGCGACATTTCAGCGAAGCATCGGCTTTTGAGGATTCACACGCCATTTCTGAAGAAAATTGCAAGTGGCGTTTCCAACACACTTCCTGGAACCGTGGCGCGAAAACTATTTTTGACCTCTGCTCTGTTTTCTCAATGTGCATCTCTGGCATCATTCATGGATTTGACAATAGTCTGCGGTAATGAGGGGCCACTCGGACAAAGTTATCCAGTCAGTCATAGCCCCGTGAGGAGTCCCCCGTCCTGTTTCAAGAAGCATGTGCGTCCCCCCTCCCCCTTCCCACTCCTCCTCCTCCTGCTGCTGCATTGTTGTTTTCAGTGTGCGTCGCTAGGCTGCATCACCGTGGAGCGCTTAGCGTTGGATGGACAGTTCGGGGAGGGGCGGGCACACACCAGGATTTGGAGCCTCGGGAAGCTTTGAATCAGAATTGTTCTTCCACAGGTTGTATGCGAGGTATGGAGATAAAACAAAAAAATGAATAAATAAATGCAGGGTTTAGAGGTTTGCTGATGTCATTTTGATGGAGGACACAGTAGGTTCATTACGGCTGTTTTTATCTTATAAGAAGATGTATGAGTCTGAAGGACGCATTGCCAGTCATCCATTTTGGGTTAGATCAGCCATCAGTGCGGACTACAGTTGAAAAATAGCCTCTTGGCTAATTCGGGCATATTTAAAATACAATGGTGCCTCTATTTATGAAATTAATTGGTTCTGGTTTCTTAATGAGAACATTTTGTAAGTCGAGACGCGTTTTCCATGTAAATGCCCTAATCCGTTCCAAGCCCCTCCAAAATTCAGACATAAATGTTTTCTAAAGCATGTTACAAATCGATTAGGGCACAATAAATGTGAGTTGTGCATAATGTAAAAAAACAAAGAATAAAAACTCGAAATTACGGTCATTTAACTTAACCGCGTCATCGTTTTTTGCCCGCTTTAGTTCACGTTCTCTCTCAGAAGTGGTTTTTGCCTGGCGTTTTGTCAAGAGCTGATCCAAGGACTTTTGCTTTTGTCGGCTTTTAACAATCCTTCGAAAATGTCCCAGGTAAACATCAGCATAGTGAGCGATCGCCGAACTGGTGGACCCTTTTGCTGGGTGATCCACATTTACGCAAAACTATCGGAACGCCTCATGGCCAATGACTAGGATGCTGCATCGACACATATCTATGTGTCTATCTTTCTACACACATAGACACGTACGGTAGAGGTCCCTCTTAGCCAATGGGATGCCAGGAAGATGCTAGGTAATAGCCAATGGCAGAGCAGCTATAATTATGTTGCGTTCAGGACACTCGGAGCTACGAGTAGCAGCCCATACTCTATTTTTACCTTTCGTATCTTGAAATTTCTTTCGTAACAAGAGGCAATCTTTTCCTGTTCGTAACTTGAAAATTTCGTATGAAGAGACGTTCGTAAATTGAAGTACCACTGTATATATATATATATTTCGAATAAACTAATGTGAATCAGATTTTTGTGGGAGAATTTCAGTGTTCATACTTTGCCCAACTCTTAGAAGGAAATTCGCCCATCAGAAGCAGGAACAGTGCCCTTTCAAACCTAGCTTGTTAGCCGGCTTGTTGGGACGTCATGCACGTTTTGAGCATGACGTCCGTGATCCACTGGTGAAAGGACACTTTGAATCGCTCCTCTTTCATCTAGAACTGCTTCAAACAACAAGGCTTATTCAGGAATAGTGGTTGGCATGACTGTCCATGTCTTGTGTTATATTACTGTATTTTTGAATTGTAATTTTATTTTTGTTCAGCACTATATAAATAAAGATGTATTGTATAAAACTTAGCGCCCAAGAAAGTTAGCCAATGACAGCAGTTTCACTGACATTGGCTAGACATTTCTATCATAACAGGACACTAACCCAGACCCCCTGCCTGATATTGAATAAATAGTCGGCCATTTTGGGCAAAAGCAGCTGTGCTTGGGTCGAATTCCTTGCGAGGGATCGTTCACCGTGGCTTTGATTTCACATTTTTGGGGTGTGTGCGAAATGCCTAACGGATTCTCTTCACTGGAACACTGCCTCCTCTGTTGAATAGAGTAGACTGTCGAGCCGTTAGCGCACGGTCTCCTTCCTGGTTAGCTGATTTCCAAACCGGCACGCTCGGGAGCCATATGACAAACATTCCACTGTGTAAATTGACAGTTCCCTCGCGGATGTTTTCTCAGCTAATTCAAGTTCAGATGCACGTGCGCCGTCGAGCGCCGTATTTCCCGCTGGGCTCATTCCAAGGAAACTCTTGAGAATTTTTCAACACCGCTGAATGCTGAAGCCGTTCTCAGCAGTAGGTGGGGCACACCCCGAACCGGTTGCCAGCTTTTCCCAACACTCAAATTCAAAATCAACTTACTAATGTAAGTTGACAAATAAAATGTCTTATAGATTATATGATTTTGACCACAAAAAAAAAATGCTGGCGGACATGCGATGTTGCTAGTTTGAAAGCTGTAATATATTGACAAATTAGAATATGATTCTTATTCAAAAATACTCTGTTTGCTATTCTAACTGGCGCCTTCGAGACCGCACGCTGCCCCTCTGCTGATACTTCAAAGCCCCTCACCACCTCCTCCCCCTCCTCTTCCTCCTCCCCCGATTCACGTCGTCACCTCCTTCCCTAATCAAACGAGCCGCGTTGTAAAAGCGCCGCCGCTCGCACCTACGCGCCGTCTCACTCAGCAAACACGGTGCCACCCGAAGCTTGAAGCGAGCTCCTGGGAGCGTCTGCGGCTTTGTTGGCGGTCCGCTAAATCCCACCACTAACTTCCAACTGACCCGCGATTAAAAACTAATCGATAATTAAATAAATAGGAATGAAAATGCTGCATTGCTTGAGTTGGATGCTGGCATATTCAATGTTTTTTTTTTTTTAACTTGTTTCACGCTTTCTATTTATTTTCCGAAAGCCTTTCATGTTTCATTCACAGTGAATGGCCATCTGTGTGTGTGTGTGTGTGTGTGTGTGTGTGTGTGTGTGTGTGTGTGTGTGTGTGTGTGTGTGTGTGTGTGTGTGTGTGTGTGTGTGTGTGTGTGTGTGTGTGTGTGTGTGTGTGTGTGTGTGTGTGCGTGCGGGCTCATGGCATTATTACAGCCCCTATTGACAAATGGATGATATCAAGAGAGCTGAGGAATGCACAGATACAGTACAAAGGTTTTTTCTTTTTTTTTTTCTTTTTTTCTAATTAGATGATTTGGTTGAGTCCAGATGGCGGGTTTTGAAAGGAACATTGAGGTTCTTTCGGGTCAATAAAATGCCGGTTTAATATCGCCTGTTATATTCTATGCTCCAGAAAAAAAAAGAATTCACATTTTAAAACTATTTGAATTAAAAAGGGCCAATTTGCTGTGTTGTTAACATGACTGTAGTTATCTCTCCGCCTGATTGGCTGCTCCAGTCTTCCATTTCCTCTTCCCGCCACTTGATACCGGCGCTTAATAATAAGCCCACACCCAATCTGTGTCTCTCTCCGGTGCTCAACCTTACATTCCGCCTTCCATCCTTTACCCACTTCCCCGCCCGCCCGCCTGTCAGTTTGGAAATGTCGCCACAACCGCATTTTGAGAACAGGAAATGCAGTGTAATTGTCCCGCTAACTCCCCTCAGTCATCTTGTATGCAAACAACACTACGACACTCGCCTGGGTGCCGGGGTCGGTCCATTCAAACAGCAGACGACACACACAGATGGCACAAGGTGGCTGAGGGGCGGAATGAAACCTGTCACCGCACTTGGCACTCCTGCTTTTCTCCCCTCTGCGACTCTCATCCGAAGCCCTACCACCTCCATTCACAATATCAAATCTCTCTTGTTCTACAGTGAGCCTTGAATAGCAAAATTTACTCATCAAATGTCGTTCAAAACCTCCCCTCGATGACTCAAATAAATAACGTACATTCAAACACCAAAATAATCAAGCCAAACATATAATTTGGAGTCCTAAAAGTCTGCAAGCTTCATGCAAACGTGATGCGAAACGCCATAGATGGGCTAACCGAACTCGGCATGCCTCATGTTCAGTTCATGATGAATTTTCAAAGTGCCGCTACTTTCACATAAGCAGAGCAGCAACATATACAAACGTACTGACAGGCATATTTTTGCTTTGCTCTGCGGGAACGACGATTACAAAAGTGGTCTTCAGCGATGAAAAACTTCAAATCGCCTTGTTCGGACTCAACGCTTGTGAGTTATTGTTGTTGAGAACTCTGCAGTGAGAGAGGAACGAACAGGAAATGACCCGAGGTGCACACTGTACATCCTGAACAAATACTACTTTCCCCCCCACCCCCTCCCCTTCTTTTACTTTATTGTTCTTGTTGCCTGAACTTTGTGTTTTATGAGCCAATGTGTGACATCCCTTGTGTCATCCTCTGCAGCCTTTCTTCCGACTACTGAACCTCCGGAAACTGGGCCTGAGCGACAATGAGATCCAGAGACTGCCCCCTGAAGTGGCCAACTTCATGCAGCTGGTGGAGCTGGACATATCCAGAAATGGTACTTTTTGATTATGCGTCACTTTTTTTATTTTTTATTATTATTTTTTTTTTTTAATAAGGAAGAATAGCACTCCATAATGTTGTCATTTTATAAAAACAAAGAGTAAGAGATTAAATGGAATGTAAAGTATTAGACCGTTTGTGCATCCTGATTTAATGCTGCCATTCCGTTCATTGTGCTGCTCCTTCCGGTCAGCCCACCTTGGCCAACAGATACTCATTTTTCATTTTTACTTTGTTTTAAAATACTGTATTTTCCGCACTAAAAGAAAATAGCACCTGTATAGCCTCACTTGTACGTGACCATCTCACATTTTTTTTTTTTTTTTTGCCTCTCCCGTGACATTCCCGCGCCGGGCCCATCTGGTTGTGTTTAGAATCAACTTCGAATGCTCTTTGCTCTACCGAAGCGCTCCCAATATATCTGCTCCTCCTCCGTCCTTCCGCAGACATTCCCGAGATCCCCGAGAGCATTAAGTTTTGCCGGGCCTTGGAGATCGCCGACTTCAGCGGAAACCCCCTCTCCAGGTAAGCTCGGTCAGAACGGGGGGAGGGCCCAGTCGCTGCAGTAAAAAGCACGCAGGCATCCGCCATGGCGTTGTTGTTTAGATGCGCCGGGAGGTTTTTAATGCATCTACGTGTCTGCACGCACGGAGGTGCACTCGATGCTAAGTATGTAACGGCGCTGCTTTTAACCGCTCCACCACACAGGAAATCCTGTGTGTAATAATTGAACAGGAGCCCGAGAGTGAGCACTGCGTTAATGCGACAATGCACACATAACACCCCCCTGCTCCCCTCCTGCATTAAATCAAAGGGGTATTATCCAAATGTGACTTTTACGGCCTTTTGGGTCTCTGGAGTGTCCGCTTAGCCATCAAACGTGGTATTCAAAAACCAGGCACATTTTATGTGAGCCCCCCCCCCAACTTGGGGGCCAATTTTTTATTTATTTTTTTTGCTTTGAAAGCCGATGCAACCATACAAATGGTAATACTGTACTTGCGGCTTCTCCCCGCCATCCATCTTTTTTGTGTGCCACAGATTGCCCGACGGTTTCACTCAGCTGCGAGCGCTGGCTCACTTGGCGCTCAACGAGGTGTCGTTGCAGACTCTGCCCGGCGACATCGGAAAGTACGTGCGGGCGCCCGCTCGCGGGGGCTTTCGTTTGACTGGGACACCCCTCTACGCTTGGCCGCTTGGCCATCACTGGCTGCACATGATCACATGACATCGCTTGTCCAATCAGTGCTGTGGGAAATTGAGTTGGCTTAGTCGTCAACGTGTGACTGTTGTGATAGTACGTCGTACAATTTAAAAAAAAAAAAGTATACTTATCTCTTGAAATTTTATTTATTTTTGGCTGTTTTTAAAAAATGTGTTTTTTAAATATTTTGAATTTGTTAAAAAAAAAATATTTTTTTTTTCACTCATGAAGGGTTCGGTGAATGTGCATATTAATTGCTTGAGTTCGGTACCTCTATCAAGGTTAAGAACCACTAGATTATTGTAACCTCCACGTTGGTCAACTGGCTGTGGGGCAGGAGGGGGGGGGGCAAGACAGATGGAGGAGCCCCCCCCCCGCCCACCGCGCCAGCCTGCCCATATGAACAGACCTGGCCTGCCATCTGACTAATCGACCTCTCCTCCTCGCAGTCTGGCCAACTTGGTGACGCTGGAGCTCCGGGAGAACCTGCTCAAGTGTCTGCCCACGTAGGTGTCGCCCATGGATACAAAATGAATGCATTTTAGTTACCCTCTTTCAGGCTTTAATTTCATAACAAATGTATTGGTCACGTACTGTATATGCTTGGTGGGTGGAGCTCGACTTTACACACCCTCATCTCAGTATAAGGTGCAGCGTCTGATCTTTAAAAAAAACAAACATTCCCTGCATACTGCCGGCGCATTTGAAATGGAGTGTTATGTCATCACCGTGTGTAGAATGGAGTTTGTTTTTAACCCAGACTAATTTCTACCGCTTTGTTTCTCAGGTCTTTGTCCTTCCTGGTGAAACTGGAACAGCTGGACCTGGGCAGCAACGAACTGGAAGTGTTGGTAATTAACTTCCACGCAATAACATGTAGCCGTGCAAATGTCTGTTGAGTTTTCAGACAAACAGCCGACTCGTTATTTGTCCAACTTCCCAGCCGGACACACTCGGCGCACTGCCCAACCTGAGGGAGCTTTGGCTGGACCGCAACCAGTTGTCCTCCTTACCGCCGGTGAGTTGGTTTGAATACTTGACGATGTCCACATCAACATTATTCCTCATTAGAAATATACATAAGATGAGCTTTTTTAGGTCCTGAGTAAAGTTGCGAAATTCTCAGACGGAACATAAAAACAAAGAAATATACTTATTGTATTTAAAGCAACCACATAGCTAAGCCTTTCAGTCCGCTATGGTCAATGCTAAGTCTAAATAGCATCTATGTTCCAGCAATATGTAGGCAGATAACAGTACTTGCGATCACATGTTCTTTATCCTCAACGAAGAACGACTAATAGTACTGCACTGATGAGTTGAGAGGAGTTGAGTCGTCTCAATGAACATTATAATCACATGGAAAGTTTTCAATTTGTTCCAAAATTCCCAAATTTAATTTCCTTGGAAATTTACAGAACATTCTGTAAACTTTAATCAAGAATTTTCAACGTTTTACAACCCTAGTCCAGAATTTTTATGATTTTTTTTCTTTTGTGTGTTTTTTAGGAGCTAGGGAATCTCCGGAGACTGGTGTGTCTGGATGTGTCTGAGAATCGCCTGGAGGAGCTTCCCTCCGAGCTTGACGGTCTCCTGGCGCTCACAGACCTGCTGCTCACGCAAAACCTGCTGGAGGTGGTTCCGGACTCCATAGGTGACTTTTTCTAAGTGACGCTCGCTCAACACAAAATCACCAAACTGCAGGTCCGGGAATAAATACTTCATGCAAGCCAAGAGGAGGATAGCTTGTTTTTGCGGACATATGGATAATTGAATGAATTCCCTCAAAGTCAAACGATTCAGTTCGGCTCTGCTCATGTCTTTTAAGTAGCCTGCACTGCCACCTACTGTAAGTGTGCGGCTATTACAAACCATTAACCGGTGACAATATATATATATATATATTTTTTTTTAATGTAGCACCCCATCATTATTACATAATTGCCCTTGTATATGATTATTATGATTTTTTTAAAAAAAAATGTTTTTAATATTATTGTTCAATACTAGTATTGAAGAGTAGTCAAGAAAAGGAGCTTGACATCTGCGATGTCTCCCCCAGGTTGTCTGAAGCAGCTGTCCATCCTCAAGGTGGACCAGAACAGACTGACCCACCTGACCGATTCCATCGGAGAGTGTGAAAACCTGACCGAGCTGGTCCTGACCGAGAACCTCCTCCAGGTAACTTTTTAAGCCGACTGGATGAACAAGGGTTCGCCGTGTATTGATTATGTCCGTATGGAGTCACAGATCAACAGGGACGGTGATGCATGGAGGAAAAAAAAAAAATTCAATTTCTGCACATACACTCAACCGCTCATTTCCCGTCCGTTACCATGGCAACCAAGCACAACCGTGACGACTTGTCGGATTTCAAAATGCAAAGTATGCTTGTCCCTCATGACTTGCTGTAGCCCAAGCGGGTATGTGGGGATTGGTTGAGACAACAGTCAGACTTTCAAGTGCGCCTTACGGTTGAAGAAAAAAAGAAAACGGTCATCATGTTACTCATGGATTTTTTTCGCTGCTTCATCCAAAGACGCTTCCTCGATCGCTGGGCAAGCTGAAGAAGCTGACCAATTTGAATGTGGACCGCAACCGCCTGGGCGCCGTGCCCAAGGAGTTGGGTGGCTGCGCCAGCCTCAACGTGCTGTCGCTGCGGGACAACCGCCTGGCCAAGCTGCCCGCCGAGCTTGCCGACGCCACGGAGCTGCACGTGTTGGACGTGGCCGGGAACAGGTGACCGTTACGCTCTCAAGTGGGCATTCAATAACGTAGGAGTTGTGGTTACCCCCGACTGATTTGTCTTTTTTTTTTTTTTTTTTCCTCGTTCTCTTTTGGTTGCCTAAGATTACAAAACCTGCCTTTTGCCTTGACGAACCTCAATCTGAAGGCCATGTGGCTGGCGGAGAACCAATCGCAGCCGATGCTCAAGTTCCAAACTGAGGATGACGAGTGCACGGGCGAGAAAGTGTTGACCTGCTACCTGTTGCCTCAGCAGCCTTCCCCAAGCCTTGGTGAGAATCAAGCGCACCTTGTTTTATTAGATATCGCACATATTTATTTATTTATTAAAATTGTGTCAATTTGGCACATTCATTTTATTTATTTATTTTTTTACAGAAATTTTTATTCCAAATGTGTTAATATTTTTTTTAATTAGATGAATCGTTGGGGCAACACAGACGGGTCACAATACAAACAAGCATGTATTCTTTATCCTCTACGAAGAGCTGTAAATATTACATTTCCTTTGAAGTGGATGCACCTGTTTTTTTTTTTTTCAAAATGAAAACCGATGATCAATCGTGTTTTGTTTTTTTTTTTTTTTTTGGTTCAGTCTCTCTGTGTACTTGGGGGCTGGTGGATCCTTGTTTTATTAGATATCGCACATATTTATTTATTTATTAAAATTGTGTCAATTTGGCACATTCATTTTATTTATTTATTTTTTTACAGAAATTTTTATTCCAAATGTGTTAATATTTTTTTTAATTAGATGAATCGTTGGGGCAACACAGACAGGTCACAATACAAACAAGCATGCATTCTTTATCCTCTACGAAGATCTGTAAATATTACATTTCCTTTGAAGTGGATGGATGCACCTGTTTTTTTTTTTTCAAAATGAAAACCGATGATCAATCGTGTTTTTTATCTATCTATTTATTTATTTTTGGGTTCAGTCTCTCTGTGTACTTGGGGGAAGGTGGACCACAGTATTGATTACGCGCTCTTCTCCGCAGAGAACCTGCTGCAGCACAGC